GGACCTCGCTGGCGGTGGGGGCATGCGGCATGGTGCAGCTGCCTGATGGCGACGACGACTGGGACCCAGGACCCGAGACGGCCGTCAAGGCTTTGGGCACGCCATTGCCTGGGCCACTGCAGCCCATCGACGGGGCCGAACTCCTGGGGTGCCTGGTGCTCCTCCGCCACAGCCTGCCACCTATCACTGCGGCCTTCGACGCCTCGTACGTCACCAAGGGCCTGTTGGATAGGGGCGAAGCCAGCAATACCAAGGCGACCTCTGCCTGGGGGTGTGTATGGAGGCGAGTCTGGGCAGCTCTGGGCGACTTCGGCGGCATTGGGCCCCGAGGGCTCACGATTCAGAAGGTGAAAGCGCACGCCACGTCGGCCATGGTCCGTAACGGAGGCATCACGGCCCACGACAGGCGAGGCGACTGGGAGGCCGACCGCACGGCGAAGGAGGTTGCAGCAGCAGTGAGGGCGCCGCTTGAGCTTCGTGAAGCCTGGCAGCGGCGTGCGCTCACCCTCGACGGAGTTGTGCGCTGGGTTGCGCGTGCGGGGTGCGAGGCAGCTGACCTGAAGCTGGACATCGACCCGAACTGCAAGCCGATTCACAAGGGGCCTCCGCTCAGCGTCACGAAGCACAACGTTGTCAAGGTGGCGAGGGGTGGAGTCCACTGCAGGGCCTGCCTCAAGACGGCGTACACGGACCTCAGCATCAAGCGGCTGCTCAAGGACCCGTGTGTGGCCAAGCCGTTTGCGCCAGTGGCTGGTGGCGCGAGGCGTAAGCCTGCGGCTTCGGCGTTGGCTTCCGCAGGCGCTGTGGCGATGGCGCTGGCGGCTGCGCATAGGCTCGAGCAGGAGGCGCTGAGCGCTCACGTCAGCGAGCACGTGGCGGTCCCTGAGCCCGAGCTCCAGCAGGCAGCGCCGAGGCCTGCCGACGCCGCCCGCGAGCCTCCTGCTGCAGGCTCGCGGGATCTGCAGCGCCCCGAGGCGGCGGCGGCAGGCGGGGGCACCAACAGCAGCAGCAGTGGCCAGGATATTTCGCCTGTGGCTGCCGTCTTGCGCGCGGCGGCAGTTGCCCGCGCTGCGCGCGAGGCCGAGTGCAGGGCCGAGGCGGAGCCCGCCGACAGCCAGGCAAGTCCAGGCCCCGAGTTCGTCCAGGTCTCCATGTCGGAGGACGTGCCCGAGGGATCTGGCACCCAGGCAGCTGGCGGGGCAGGCCACGAGCTGCTCAGCATCAACGGCTTCAGGATCTGCACTCGGTGCAAGACCTACGCCAAGGAGCTCAACGGCAAGCACAGGTCGCTCGGCAGGTCGCGCGTTGCGGCCTCTGGCAACGCGCTGCGTCTGCGCAACCTGAAGATTGCCAACATCAGGGCAGGCCTGGACCCGAAGACGGGCAGGCGCCTGAGTGAGTGATTTGGGGAGTGCCTTCGGTGGTCTAGGCCTTTTCAGGCCTGGCACGGGGTGGATGGTGGCTCGCGTGGCTGCCTCGCCCGACGGCGCACGCCCACGCAGCGTGGCGTGCACGTTGTATGTGGAGGCCGCTGTTTGCGGAGCCTCCTTGCCGCGCCCTGTGGCTCGCGCCATTTTGGCGGCGGGATCGGCTCGTGCTGCACGAGCTGCCTGGTGTGTACAAAAAAGTGGCTCTATTCCGAAATGTTTCATGTGCGTCTGTTGCTATAGATTGCGCCTCTCCTGGGGCACGAAACCTTCCTGGGAGGTCCCAGGAGGTCCCAAGAGGCCCCTGGAGACCCCAGGAAGCCCCAGTAGGTTTCAGGAGGCCCCAGGAGGCCCCAGGCCCATGCACAGAGACGCGCTCGCACGACTGAGGCTCATTCACATTCCAATTCATTCGCAGTTAGATTGATGTCCAGACCGTCACAACTGAAGCCCGTTAATATTCGAAAGCTCTTGCGCCTAGACACTCACGGCGGACAGGTCCATGCGAGTAGATGCACATATGGGGGGCTCCACGCAGTGAACACTTTCTGGGCTCAACATCCTTCGCTTGGAGAGCAGATTGTGAGGATGTCTCAGGCGGGGCGCTGGTTTCGGCACCCCTAAGGGGGGCCGCCAGGAGTGTTTGCACGGGCTCGTTCTCGGCCATTTTGTGGGGATGTCTCAGGCGGTTCGCTTGGTTCTGGGCTCAACATCCTTCGCTTGGAGAGCAGGTTGTGAGGATGTCTCAGGCGGGGCGCTGGTTTCAGCACCCCTAAGGGGAGCCGCCAGGGGTGGTTGCACGGGCTCATTCGCGGTCAGTTTGTGGGGATGTCTCAAGCGGTTTGCTTGTTTCCGGGCTCAACATCCTTCGCTTGGATAGCAGATTGTGAGGATGTCTCACGCGGGGCGCTGGTTTCAGCACCCCTGAGGGGAGCCGCCAGGGGTGGTTGCACGGGCTCGTTCGCGGTCAGTTTGTGGGGATGTCTCAGGCGGTTTGCTCGTTTTCATGCCCAACATCGCCGGCGGGGCTGCGCCTCCAAAAGTGGTGAAACGCGCCCTGGGGAACCAGGGATGACGAGGAAGAGGCAACCATACTCAAAGCTCACTCTGACTCATTCGCAATCACTCGCATTAGGGGTCACTCGTCTTCGTCGGCCCTGTCGCCCACGTGGACGCGCTATTGTAGTCGACCGCTCATGAACAGACGCTCACCACGGCATGACATAAAACATGAGATGCACATATGGGGAGCTCCACGCAGTGAGTAATTGATTTGTCCTTATCTCAGCAGCCCGACGGTAGGGGCGTGCGGATGTCATGGCCCAGGCCATGACATGGTCCAGCATGTGTTGTTTATTGTTATCGAAGACGCCTGGGCAAATCACCGCCGCCTCCTGCCTTTTGGAATGGCCAATGTGACCGAGCGTTGTGGCAAGAGCTCTGCCAAGCTATCGGACCATGTGTTCCCCCAGCCGTTGTGGAAACCCTGGGAAACATTGAGGGGAAGATGGCGGGGCAGATCAGGAGGAGGAGGAGGAGGAGGAGGAGGAAGGAGGAGGAGGAGGAGGTGGGGGCATCTTGGGAGCCTCTAGGGGCACTTGCGGGGCCTCGTGGGAGCTTCCTGCGAGCTCCTTGGAGGCATCTTTGGGGCCTCCTTGAGCCTCTTGGGGCCCTCTTGGGGTGTTCCAGGACCGCCTTGGAGGCCTGTTGGGCGTCTTAAGGCCTCTTGGGCCCGCTTGGGGCCATCTTGAGGCCGTCTTGGGGGCCTCTTGGGTCGTTCTGGAGCCATCTTGGCGGCCTCTTGGGCGATCTTTGAGGGATCTTTGGGGGCTCTGGGGCCGTCTCGGGCTGTCGGAAGACCGAAAAAACTTACATGCCAAACTCCTACAAGCACTTAAGGACAGATTATGATGTTGACCTCTTTGTTCCTTCCTGGAGGCCATCTTGGAGGCCTCTTGGGCCGTCTTGGAGACCTCTTGGGAGCCTTTTGGGTCGTCTTGGGCCATCTTGGAGCCATCTTGGGCCGTCTTGGTGGCCTCCTGGCCCGTCTGACGCCCTCGGAAGCCTTCTCGGGGGGCCACTCTGGGCCGACTTGGAGCCCTCTTGGGGTGCTCCAGGGCCGTCTTGGAGGCCATCTTGGGCGTCTTGGAGGCCTCTTGGGGGCCGTCTTGGGGGCCTCTTGGGCCGTCCTGGGGCCATCGTGGAGGCCTCTTGGGCGATCTTGGGGGGGCTCTTGGGCCGTCTCGGGCCGTCAGAAGGCCGACAAGGAACAAATGCCACAATCCCGCGAAAGCCTCTTTGGAAAATCAATGACGTTGGCCTCTTCGGGCCTTCCTGGAGGCCCCTTTGAAGGCCTCTTGGGCAGTCTTGGAGACATCTTAGGGGCCTCTTGGGCCGTCTTGGGCCATCTTAGAAGCTTCCTGGGCGGACTCGGAGGCATCCTGGAGCCATCTTTGGCCGTCTTGGCGGCTTCTTCGGCGGACTTGGAGGCAACTTGGACCATTTTGGGCCATCCTGGAGGCCATGTTGGGCCACGTGCGCCCTCTTGGAGGATGTCTTGGGCAGTCTTGGAGAATTGTTTCTGGACGTCGTGCTCGTTTGGGCGCCTTCCGGCTGGCCGGCGGGATCGGCCGGAGCCCCAGGGGGAGTTCTTGCGGAGAGCCCCTAACCGAAGGCGATAAGATCTAGCACACCGGGCACCCCTGTGGCAAGCCAACAGGGGGGCGGCGGATCTATGTCTCTCCAGCCCATCGCGCCGCCGTGCCCAGGTCCTTGACGCAGAGCCTCTTGGAGGCCTCTTGGGGCCCTTGGGGGGGCCTGGTCGCCCTGGCAGGAAGCGCACACGCTCCGCCGTGCATGGCGATCTCGCTCCTTGTCTTCCTCCCTCCTGCAGCCGACCGGGGTGCGAGATCGAGGTCGGTTCGGGGAGGATGCCCTGATGTTCCTCGTGCTTGTTGGATGCTATGGTGCATCCTGGGGAGGGGGCCCTTGGATGTTCTGTTTGTTTTGGCCGACAGAGGGTCCCAAGTTCTTGAAGGATGTTCTTCTGGCCCAGGTCCGACTGTACTCCTGCCGCCCGCGGGCTGTCCTTGATACCGCGCCGAGCAGTGCTAGACGCATGCATTTACCCACGCGCCTAGTGGCGTGTGGTTTGCTGGCTTGGGGGGCCTCTTGGAGATCTCTTGGTGGTCCACTGGTAGCTGTTTTTGGCTTCTGGGTGCCTTCGGGGCCTGTTGGCGGTCTCGAGAGCCATTTTCGGTGTCAAGAGCTCCAGATGTCGGTTCGAGACCCCGCATTTGGATCCCTCTTAGAGGCAGTCTTGGAGGCCTCTTGGGCCCCTGTTGGAGCTACGTTGGCCCTATGGAGCGATCTTGGGGGGGGGCTCTCAGCCTGTCTAGGACGCTCGACCCCAAAAGGTCGAGAATGCTTCAAGCATACGATTTCAGCCACGCGGCTAAGCAGCCCCCACGGCTATATGAGACGGTCCCGTGACGGCTTTCCACGGCCCTTCTGGCTCGGGCGATCCCGGCGCAGGCCGCTCTTGCACTGCCGCTTCCTTCGGGAAGGAAGTCGATGGGGATGTCGGCCCCCGCCGAAGGGGGGGCGGAGCTGCTCCAGCGAGCGGGTGACGGAGCTGCTCCAGCGGGCCGGGCCGCCGTGGCCCTGGGGGCTCGCCCTGCGCGCGCCATGGACCCCCCTGCCGCCGCCGTGGCGGGCTCCGTGCTGGCAATGGGGCTGGTGCCCTGCTCGCCTCGCGCCCTCCTCGCCGCGGCAGCCGCAGGCCGCGCCCGCGCCAGCGAGCCCGAGGTGGAGCCGCACCGCCAGGACAGCCCGCCTCAGAAGGCGGCCTCCGCAGCGGCGCCTCCTCCTCCCTCCTCCTCCCTCCTCCTCCTCCCTCTCCTCCTCCTCCTCCTCCTCCCCCTCCTCCTCCTCCTCCTCCTCCTCGAAGGCGGCCTCCGCAGCGGCACCTCCGCAGCGGGGCCCCGGCCGGGAGGCGGTGGTCTTCGAGTCGCTGCTGTTCCCGCGAGCCTGACCGTGGCGAGCCCGCGGCGCGCGGGCGGCGGCGTGGAGGCGGCGCCCCGGGGCGCCGCGAGCTCGGACGCCGGGGCCACGGACGCCGGGGCCTGAGCCAGGACCCGAGATCAGAGCCCCGAGTCATCAGGGGTAACTCGGGTCAGGGATAACTCGGGTTCGTTTGTCGGGAATCCGAGCCCGAGCAACCCCGGACCCGAGTTACCCCGGATAATTCGGGCGTCCAGAGCCCCGAGTCATCAGGGGTAACTCGGGTCAGGGATAACTCGGGTTCGTTTGTCGGGAATCCAAACCCGAGTTACCCCGGACCCGAGTTACCCCGGATAACTCGGGCGCCCAACGAGAGGTGGAGGGGGCCGCCGCAGAGGGCGATCGCTGAACAGCGTGGGCTGCCCGCACTGCGATCGTCGGTGCCAGCAGGTGTAGCCCGTGCCGTCTTGCGGTGCAGTGCCGTGGGCGGCAGGCAGGGTTGCACAGTGGCTACCTCATCGGCTGCTTCATCAACGTGCGGCTCCCCACTTCGGGCGGTTGGGTGCCATTGTTCTGTCTCTCTCGTCGGCTCTGCGTGTCCTTCCACCTGCTGCGGAGGAGCGATCCACGAATTCAATGGCGAACTCATGACGCGTGGCTTACGGAAACCGACATGTAAGCGGCCGTCGAATGCAACCATTCGTCATGGCCCATGGCTCGCGGCAGCAGGCTCGCTCCTGTATGATATGTCCAAAGTTTTTAGCGCACACGTACATGCGATCTGTGTACGGTCGCAATCGTTTTTGTTTGTGTGTACATTGTCGCGATCTGTGTACAGTCGCTATGTGTGTACAGCAAGGCTACCAGCTTAGACTCCTCACAGTGCGTTTTTTTCATGGTGGGTATGAGGTGACCGTCGCAGCGATGCCTGCCGCAGTTGTTTGTGCACCGCATAGCTTCGCAGACGCATAGCCTTTGCAGTTCATGGCCGCATAACCTTTGCAGTTCATGCCTAGCTGAGATGTCGGTATTGAAGCAACCTGACAGTACCTGAGCAGGGTACATTACGCCGCATTGCGTTGCGGAGCCGACCGC